GTAGTACATGATGGCGAGGGCGGATTTCTACATAGTCGTAGACACAAGCGTCTAGTGCTAGACTTAAGTGTGTCATTGAATGTTTCCTCTGTAACTTACTTCCAATATGTTAGAAATAAGGAGAGAAGCACAGTGATCTATTCTATTCTGGACCCTGCCACCATTATTATTGGTAAACTATTAATTGTGCTATCGAACAAAAGGCTGACGTTAAACAGTAACAAGACCTTTTCTGACAGGAAACTTAACATTAGGCTACTAGAACTATACGTTATATCTTTGCTCCACTGCAGTGCTTTGGATGCACCCTGGGCAATTATTACGAGAGTAGTCAACTATTGCTATTATACATCACCGGGTTTTGCAATAAAGGAGCGTCATAAAGTGTCACCCGGCTCATGATTTAATAGAAAATCTAAGACCATCCCTAATTCCCTACAATATCTACAGATTTCCAATAAATTTACCTTGCTGTTATTTCAGACAAAGAAAAGGCTCGTATTTATTTTTATACTTTGCAGACACACGTTACGGGATATATTCCGACCACAAATGTGCCAATAAAGTAGATTAAATATCTAAGAGTTAAGGAAACTTAATTACAAATTAAACCTAAGAATTAGGTATCCCGTTTGTCGTGCTATATAATTTAATATCTATAAATTATATAGCACATTTTAGAATATTAAACTCATATAAGTTTACTTCTAACTGGCCTGGGCACATTAAAGTTAATTGACAATATCGTGTAGGTCGTTGTTGTCAGAGGCAAGCTTATGTTGGGATAATCTTTCACCGTGTACGAGTGGCGTCGAGCACTCTCCTATATTACCAGTGAACAAATACACCTGTGTATCAAACGCGATATAAAATACAGCTTAGTGTCAAATGCGATACAATGTTCCGATACAAACTGTGTAAAATAGCATACAATGCTCTGATACGAAATATACTTTTGTGTCGATTAGATACCCTGTTGGGGAGTTTACCAATTCATCGTTGTATTTAATAAACACTATTAAATTTGGTTGCCAACAAGAAATGCATTTTGAGAATCTATACATTCTATACATATCAGGTGAGCCTTGAAAAAGAAAAAATATATTGGCAGTTTATTATTGTAGCCTAATTAATTATACCTATTAATATATAGATTGTTGCTTTTAACTTTAGGGAAAATTCTGTTAAAAATAATAAATATTCCCTTATTTAAGGTTCTAACGAGTAACTTAAAAAACTGCTCTTCTTACAAAACTATATTCTTAAAATGATGTCATAACTTCACAAAACAATGTTTGTAAGAAGTCAGAACATAAATAAACTATATTATGGTAATTACAAATACCCCCGCCGCAGCAAACCTGCAGACTAAGCGAATTTCCATTTGACTGATTGTATGTACTCTGAAATGTCTACTTAAAAATATAACATTTATTCCCGATTTAAATAGAATTAGTTTAACAAGTACTTAGGTTTGCTGCATCAGGGAGGGTAAAACTGTTTTTTTTTTTTTGTAAAATGTTAATAGTTAGTAAGAAATAAAAACATTTTCCAAATTTGATCAAAATATGTTCATAAACAAGCAAACTACAACAGTTTACTTATTCTCCATAAGAATAACATGGGAATTTTAAATTTACAATTTTTTTGAATTTTCTCCGTAACCATTAGGCGCATAATAACGCTTCAATATACAAAATTATTTGTTTTTTTAAGCTCTACAAAATATTTTGGAAAGAAATTGCAAAATTTTATGTTTTTGGGTCAAAAATGGGAAAAACCTATTTTTACCCCATAAAACCCCCCATAAACCCCCGTTCCCATGATCCGATCATGCTGGATCGCGAACTCGTTCGAATAAACGTAGGTTTACACGTTTGTACCAAATTTCATCAAAATCGGATCATTTTTGCTTGAGTTATCGTGCTAACGGACACACACACACATATATATATATCTATGATAGCTCACATTCCATTAACATATAGGCATATTCTTATTTCAAAAATCCTTTCGGGCTCCGCCCCAGTGGCTCTGGAGTTTCCCATGTTAACCTTATGAGAAATGGAATTATTGAATCTTAACAGCTGTTTCAATTAAACAAGTTGGTTCTGTTCTATGATGTTCAATAGCATTAAAGTTACAAGGATTACCAACAGGGTGCAGCACTATTATTTCGTTTACATTTATGACAACAGCTAATTTGCAACCAAAAGGTGAGTGAGCGTAGCGAACGAACTTCAACCTGGAGGCGAGTTAGCGTAGCGAACGAGCTAACCTGAAGGCAAGTGAGCGCAGCGAACGAGCTCCAACCTAAAGGTGAGTGAGCGTAGCGAACGAGCTCCAACCTAAAGGTGAGTGAGCGTAGCGAACGAGCTCCAACCTAAAGGTGAGTGAGCGTAGCGAACAAACTTCAACCAGGACGTGATTGAGCCATGCGAACGAGATAATCTTGAAAATTAAGAAGTTAAACGGGGCAAAGCCCGCGGGTTACAGCTAGTATATATATATATATATATATCTATATAAATAAAATTAGAGTTTTGTCTGTACATTGCTCAGAATAATAAACTTTTAGGTAATTGTTACGTGTTATACATTAGAGAAACCGAAACAAGTCTCATCTAAATTTCTGTCTGTCTTCCAGTCTGTTACGACCCAAGAGCCATTTTACGCGGCCTACTCCTGAAAAACGAGAGTACCTATCAAGTTCCAAATCATTTTAATGCATTCACTGGATTGGCGAGATTGTCTTTAGCCATTAAAATATGGCGTCACCAATTTGTAAATAAAATGACGGACGTTTAAAAACCCAATTTTGTGCGATTTTTGTAAAGTTTTCTCCCAATGTTTAGCACATATTCTTCTATGAAATAACGAACAGCTGTTCAAATCAAGATTATTTCTTCTAGCTGTCACTGATATGTTTACATTGAATGTTGTTTACAAATACCGCAACCATTTCCGATCACGTTTTGAAAGCAAATCCAAACCAATTAAGATTAAAAACGTTTTTCCTTACATAGCGGATTTAATTAATCGCAAGTGCAATAATTTGTAGGGTAACAGTAAATGAAAATAGAGATTCTTTGTGCATAAAATTGTTCTTGAGTTTTGATAACCGGGAAATAGACCTTGAATCAGTGTTGTATATTGCTGGGAAACTTACATTTTTTAAATGAGCGTTTTCAGTCAAGACTCAGCACACGACCGACGCGCGTCTACATGTCCATAGTAAAAATAAAAGTAGGCCTACCGTGTATGTTTTATTCGTTATGTGTCTAAGTGTACAGTTCGTGTATGTGTTTCAAAAACTCCAAGATGCACCTAATGGGGAAGCTCAAGACCTTATATTAGGACTGATGATGGCGATTTAATTTCGCCGAAATGCATCTCCTCTCTCCTGTAATAGGATACATTAGGGTCGACCGGCGGACACGGGTAATTTAGCCTTTTATTGATTGTCATACCGATCCGGAACAACAACAAACGACATAAAATGAAGTTATGTATAATAAATAGTTTGGCCAGCATATCTGAAAATATTCAAACCAACTACTGTTCTTTATATAAGAAGGTTTCAACTGATACTATAAGATCCCCGTGCGTAGAACGGGTACACAGCTAGTAAATATATAAATATATATATATATATATATGAATTTGAACGAATGGTGTTTTTGGCCTCTAGGGACCTCAAAACGAAAAAAAAATCGGTCCCGCGTCCAGGTCTTACCATGAGTACTACGGTAATAGCTTATTCCCTATATGGGAAATTCGCTAAAAGTAGTTAATAAAACCAAAGTCTTTTTAATTCAATTCTTAACACACCCCCACCTTTGTAAATTGAGGAGTTAGACAACAATTTACAAACACTTAATTCGTAGAATAGGAAAACGTCAAATACTTGAACAGTACAATTTGTATAAAACCATTCACGTGTCTAGGATTTCCCGTGTTTTTATCTCTCGGCCACTTCGGGTTTTTACGTGGTTCTTTATTGGACCTGTGGTAACATGAGAGTTTCTTTCTGGTTCACAGTAGTTGTTAATCCATAAGTGTGAATTGTAGTATTTGGTGGTGTCATCTCAGGTTCGAAGTTCCCATCAAAAAAGTTGTCTTGATAATCAATTTCTAATGTATATAACATCTGAACAAGGCGCAAAATGTCACCTTTCGTCGTTCTTAACTTGACAAGACGAAGAATTCCAGCACGTCCAGGAATCAATTTAGTTACTCGTGCCAGTATCCATCCAATCTCTTCTTATCATTTCCTACTAAAATTAAATCACCTACCGTACTGATAAATTCTTTATGTTGTTGATGTTTCTTTGTGGTTCGCAAAAATCCCAGATATTCTTTATGGAATCGTATCTGAAGTCCGTTTTGAAGCTTTTGTAGAAAACATAGTCTTTTCTGAATACTCAATTTTCAAGCTCATCAAGGTCAGTCATTTCTGAGGTCGGAACACTTGAAAGGAATAAGGAAGGGTTGAGGGGAGTAAGTTCATTCGAGTTGTCACTGACACAAGTCAAGGGACGGCTGTTCCTAATACACTCACACTCACATCAGTTCTTTATAACACAGTGATGCTCGTCCTAAATTTTTCTTAAGGTCCTTTAACACACATGTTATCCGCTCCCACTATCCTCCCCACCTTGGTGCAGCGGGAGCATTAAATTTCCACTTTATTCGCTGAGTACTGCATTCCTCTTCAATTTTTGATCCAATCTAAATCATCGAATACGTTGTCAAGTCCATCAAATTTCGTCCCATTATCTGACTGTATAGTGTATAATCTTCGGTCTTCCTCTTCTTGATATGAAGCGTCTGAGTATTAGGGCAGACGTATTTAGAGAAGTCAGGATCTCTAGGTGTACAGATCGGTACACAGCCCAAGCAAATATAATGATCCAGTACTTTTCATCAGTGTTTAAGAAGAGTGGGCCCATCAGATCAATTCCGGTTGTTTGAAAAACTGGACAACTCTGTGTTCGCTCATGAGGTAATGGTTGCGTTGAAACATTTAAAGGCTTTACTTGCAGTTTTCTTCAAGTCAAACAACAATAAACAATTGTTTTTACTTGTCTTCTGCATTGCGGAATCCAAAATCTCACCTTTAGTATCAAAATCAATGTCAGAACTCCAGCATGATTATTCTTTAAATGCTCATGCTCTATCAACCACGAGATGATAAATGTGAGAAACACAGGACATACAAAATTCGGAGTCTTCTTCTTCCATTAATCGTGTCTTTAGGTGAATATCAATCAATCAATCAATCAATCACCCATTGAGATGGGGACGCCACCTAGGTGCGTATTTTAACCCAAATATGTGTGAAGGATGAGTGTAGAATTGAGTGTGATGATCTGTGTAGCTTTGTTACTGACTAAGACCAGCTGTTTCATTAGCCAGGATCATTTGTTTAACACAGAGGATACGCGTCCGGTAACCAGACGTGGATTAGGCGTCCGGTAGTGACGTCACCGGGTTGTGGGGTCCCGGAACGCCATTACCACAACGATACGAGGATCGGTCAGCGTTGTTCGTGGTGTAGTGGATAGAGTGCTCGGCTGATATCCTAGAGGTCCCTGGTTCGAAACCCATCGGTTTCTTACCACTTTTTGTCACAGATTTTGCTTTGAATGTAATTTCTTCTTAACTGTACATCTTTTGTTAGAATTTTCGGCATTTATAATTTTATGTTATGAAGAGAATTGAACCTTCATTTGATTTTTTAACTATCAGCAAGTTTGGTTGGTTAGGTTAGGTTATGACAGTAACTGCCGGACGCCTAATCCACGTCCGGTTACCGGACGCGTATCCTCTGCGTTTATTTAAAGCCCAATGATCAGGAACAGCTGGGTCCAGTTTTGAACCATCAAAAAGCTACTGACTTTTCTCAGGATCGAACCGGCGACCTTTTGATTAGTAGGCGAGCACTATAACCACTCACTCAGCTACCCAGCCAGTTAATAAGACCACAATCATTTCCAAAATAGTTTCAAAGTGTTGATTCCTTTTTCAGTGCAAAAGAAAATCTTTTGTTTAGAACCAGCGGCGGATTTAGGGGGAGGCACAGAGGACACAGGTCCCCCCCCCCCCAAAAGCTGTGTATAAAAATATAATATATTAAACTAGTTAAAAACCAAACAAAATAATGCAGTTGTTTTACTATTTATTTTATTTGCCCATTTAATAGTAAACTTAACTTTAAATAAAAGTACAGGAAATGCTTGGTAGCTTAATCAAAATTGAGTAAACTATAATCGATAGTCAATTGTGAAAATTATGTTAGTTTTTGCCGGCCGTCGCTTCTAAAGCTTTTAGTAGTTAGAATTGTCTAAAATGCCTGCAGCAATATTAATTTATTGCATCCCATTCCTACATTTTTTTTATAAAATCGTTTCTTATAGAGTTAGCAATAAATGATTTTTAAATACTGGTTTCTCTAAAATCAAACCTATTCAGGTGTATATGTTAAACATTAATGATGTTGCCAAAATATAAGGAAATAAATAAGAAATCTAGCTTCTATATGGAAGATTTATATTTAAAATATGGCTGAAAATTGCGTTTTTCAATACCAGAAAGTCAAATTTTCCAATACAGTATTCAATTACCCCCTAACCGCCCCCGCCCCCCCGGTGGTTCACAGGAATGGGCTAGGTGGTGCCCCCCCAAACTAAATTCCTGGATCCGCCCAGTATAGAACGCAATAAAATTACTTCAGCATTAATATACATGAGTGAAAATTTAAAAACGTACGTTTTCATGTCCCTGGCCTTTTACTTCGTAGATACTGGATTTGTAGTTTATTATTATGTGTTTTAATATTTTTTGGGACGGGGGCAACATGTTACACACATTTATTTGGTTTTAAATAGGTTCTAGGTATTTTTTTCGTATTTTTAAAGTCTCGAAATTCACGACCATGACGTGTCCCTAGGGTACATTTTCCAACTTTCACGCTGTTTTTAGACTAATTATTCATGCCGAAATATATAAAGCCATATTTTTATGTCATCAATGGTTATTAAACTTACAAAAAAGGAGCATATTATAATTTTATTGTCATCACAAACTGACTACCATGACAAAATAAGTCTGTCCCTCGATTTGGCATCACGACCATTTGGGAAAAATTTTCAACTTTGGAGCACGACAGTGGCAAGCCTGGCGTCGATGGAGTCAGTTGGTTTTAGAGACTAGTTCGGGGTGTACGTCAGGATTGTAGTGCCGGTCGTTTCGAGTTGAAAGGAGGAATTACAAGATTAATAAAGGAAATATTGTGTTTTTTGTAATTTTGGTGTGTCCATGACCGTACGTAGTCATTCGATGAAGTAGACATGGTGTTAATTTTTGTTTATAAGTTATTTCAATTGCTAGATTAACCTAGAAGTCCACTTTGTATCCTCGAACATGAGGTGCAGGGCTACCACCAGAACAGAGCCAAATAACACGTAATTTCACGACCAAAGTTTCACGACCATCGCGGGTTTTTTCACGACCAACCCAGCCTTATGGATTATAGTGTGTTTGGTCGTGACAAGTTCTTTAATATAATTGTAAATTGAACAGTTTAGTGCAATTGTAACACATATTTTTATTATAACTAACAGGATAATTGAAGGATTGTTTAGAAAGATTTAGATTATTCCAGACAATTCACGACCGTACCGCTTGTCCCTGACCATCACGTTTATGATTTCTATCATAAAAATTTCAAAAATTAAAATATCGTCATATTTCAATGTTTTATACACAAAAGAAGCACACCTCTATACAAACATAACGATTTTTCGGGTCTCAGGTAAGTTTTTTCGGAGTTATACAAACTTAAAAAGATTTTATTGCCTTTTTTTCAATTTTTTGAGTTTTTTTATTTTTTTCTAGAAAGACTAAATATACCAAAAGCTCAGTGACCTTTTTATTGTATAATGGTCATAAAAGTAAATTAGTTTATAGCAAAACATATCTATAAAAATAATACTAACTATTTTTAATATTCATTTAAACGTCCGTTATGGTCGTGACAGGATTTTGTGTTTTTCCACTAAAGATGCTCTTTTAAAAAGAAACTACCAAAGACATTGCGTTACCATGGACATTTTATAAAACTTCAAATGTTAATGAAATAAAAAAAATAATAAAAGTTTTGAAAAAAGGGGAAAAAAATTTGCAAAGTGCTTTTCCTGAAAACGTACGTTTTTAAATTTTCACTCACATCTCATTTGTTATAATACGCTCCAAACACAAAACTTAGTGAAATCTAATGGGTGTTTACTTTTCATTATTTTCAATGTGTATGAAAAATGAAATGAAATGAAATGAAAATGTGCTTTATTGTACAATTTAGAACATAAATACATTTTTTCACAGACACATAAAAACAATGGTTAATAACCGTCTGTTTTGTTGGCACTAGAGTTGTTCCATTACTTAAGATTAGAATAGTAGGCCTATTGAGCACTAAAAAGATTTATTAATATTTCTGAAATAAAGACATAAGAGAGAACGAAATATTATTACATAAGTGATAAAAAACAAAAACATACTGATCCTAACTTATCTGTAGACGAGTTTCATATACAATTATTATCCGCATCACACAGATGGGTCCATGACATCCTCACTCCAAGACGCGGCGTGAGAGGGCGACGCCAATCCTTCCCAGGACGACCAGCCGAGTCAAGACTATCATCCAACGGGAAAAGGTATTCCACAGGGACTTTTCAGGGCTTGTGTGTATAATGTTTGTGGACTTAAAAACAAGCTCAATGATAATTATTTTTTTGAATTTTTAAGAAGTTATGATTTAGTTTTTATGTTAGAAACTTTTATTTCAGAAGCTGATATTAATATAGTTTCGGATAAATTGTCAAATTTTAGTTTGTTTTTCAAGTTAGCAGTGAGAGAAGGAAGGGTGGGGAGATATAGTGGAGGGGAAATCATTGCTATCAATAAAAAGTCAAAATTTATTGATTCTTTAGAAGTTGATAAGGTCCATAATTATAATATTGTAAAGGCGAGTTTCATTAATGCACAAAATTCAATTTGTTTCCTGCCATTATATTTAAATTTTCAATGTGTACAAACGTGCACTTTTAAACAAAAGCAAAAAAAGCCATTTCCTGGATAAAAACAACAACATTCAAATAAAAACTATTTTTTATTTTTTACAAGTTTTGCACTTAAGTTGTAGTATACCAAACAATAATATAAATTAATAGCTTGATGATAATAGGTAGCTAAATATAATTAAATAATGAACAATGGTTTCATTGATGTACTAATCAATACATAACAATAGGCAATATTTCAAAACAAAATAATAGTTATTAATAAGTTAGTTATTACGGTGGTAAAGGAAAAACGTATGTAATTACAGTATTTTTTTTTTATATTCAAACTGTACAAAGACATTTTTTATTTAAAAAGAAAGCAAAAAAAGCTCTTCTTTTTAAAGTCACAATACTACAGCAAATTATCTATCAAAAATCAGTCAAAACATGTAAATTAAAGGTAACAGAAAGCCAAAGAAGGCTTTTCTTTACAAGTCACAATAATAACAAGTTATCTGTAAGAAATCAGTTAATACATGTAAATTAAAGATAACCATCATAACAATCAAAATGATACAGTATGTTGTTCTCAATCTCATGCATTATCTAATTTTAAGTGTTCAGTATGTTTTAATGTCAACATTTTAAAATAGTTTTGAATACCTAATTCTTAAATTAAAACCAAATTAGTTTGTACTCTGTATGCTGTCAAACTATATTGAGGACCTTGAAGCCTAAAATAATATACATGTTGTAAACCTTAATTTAACTAACCAAGAACTCAATTTTCTATAGAATGTTTTACATAAACAATAACGCTAGAGTTAACAATCAAGTAAATCATTGTATGGCTTGTAGTGGAGGTAGTTCTCCATATAGGGAAAGTTTTTATTGCCAGAGAATCTTAAACTATTACCCTTGGATAGATTTGCTCCTGCCAACAAGATCATGGCATTATCACTTAACTACTAGCCATTGGTGGCAGGACGGAACCCAACCACTACCAGCCATACACTAAGGCTGCGGCTCCACTGGCTGTAGTTTTTCACGCGACAAGGTGTTGTTGATAAGTCAAATAAATGAGAAGGTAGCGATTAAACCAAGATATGGCTCCACGAGTGACAGTATGCAGCACGATTCATATTACAGTGCGCCGCAGTCTGTAGCGTCATACGGAAATGGAACCTGTTGCGCTACATTTTGCCGCAATCAGGTGGCTCCACTACTGTAGGTTGTAGTGCCGCGTCAAGGCTCGGTCAACAGCCACCTGACATATAAGGCACAAGACAAATTGACGCTTTATTTTGTTAGACTTGTTTAGTGTCATACATAAGTTGAGTTTTGTGAATTCTTTTGTGAACAATGGAGCTTGTTCTTGTTTGCGAGGT